AAGGTTTAGATTTGTTACTGAATTTGACATTGGTTGATTCAGACTATAGCTATTATTTCAAAGCATTAATAATGCTCTTGGTAATTGCAGCGATTTCTATCTCTGTACTATCTAATGAGTCTTCTCGTATTCCATTCTTGAACGGTGATAATTTTTCAAACTGGAAGGACAAAATCCTTCTAACATTAGGGTGCATGGACCTCGATCTGGCACTCAGTGTGGATGAACCTCTTGAAACCACGAACGAGAGTTCCGCTGCAGAAAAGAGTGCTTATGATAAGTGGGAGCGATCCAATCGCTTAAGCCTAATGCTCATAAAGTCACATATTAGCCAGAGCATTAGGGGCTCAATCCCACCATCTGATATGGTCAAGAACTACATGAGGGCTATTGAAGAGCAATTTGCTAGTTCTGACAAAGCATTGGCAAGTACCCTAATGAACAAACTATCAGGAATGAAGCATAACAATTCTAGGAGTGTGCGTGAGCACATTATGGAAATGAGGGACATTGCAGCTCGTCTTAAGTCCTTAGAGATTGAGATTTCTGAGTCATTGCTTATCAATTTCATATTCAATTCTCTTCCTGTGGAATATGGAGCATTCCAAATTTCTTACAACACACAGAAGGAAAAATGGCCTATCAATGAACTTTTGACCATGTGTGTTTGAGAGGAGAGATTGAAGCATGGAAAAGTGAAAGGGACAGAGTTTCAAGCCTATTCTATGCACAAAACAATGTCTATTTTTGATGGCTATCACATGCATATTTATAGATAGGCTTGGACCCATATCCAAGTGTAACTCTTTATAACTTCCTACCATCAGGGAAGTTATAAAGTCCCATGAAACCACCATATGGGATATTAAACAGACATCAGTTACCCATTAACCATTAAACTAATTAATTAGCCATTAAACCAATTAATTAGTCATTAAACCAATTAAATATATATAATATAAATAAATAAAACATGTGGTATATGGGCCACTTTATGGATATTCTTACATTCTCCCACTTGGCACATATAACACACGTTGTTGACTGTCGGGTAACTACCAAACTGATGATGGTCATTAAATAAAAATACCCAAACCTTAGAGGTATAATACACGAATCATGGCGGTTATACTCTATCAATTAAGTATTTCCTTCCATGTATTATATTATATCACACTCTCAACTTAATGTGGTGTCATTCTTTATGAATAACTTCTAATAAGTTATTCTGGGTCCAATGATTCCTATGGATTAATAGTCCCAATGGACTGTATAGCATCACAAATACTTTAGGTGCACAAAATGATGCTTTTCACTAATAATAATCAAAATGTCATGACAAAACAAAATAAAACAACAACTAGAAAAATTATTGAGCTAACCAATCAGTCCCATGCCCTCAACGTGTTTTGAAAACACCTTTACAGAAAGACCTTTGGTCATGGGATCTGCAATCATCATATCGGTACTAATATGCTCAATGCTGACTTCTTGCTTCTTAACATGGTCTCGAATAGCAAGATACTTTATGTCAATATGCTTGCTACGGCTACCACTTTTGTTGTTGTTAGAGAAGAAAACCGCAGCTAAATTATCACAGTAAACCTTTAATGGCCTAGAAATTGAATCCACAATTCGAAGCCCTGTGATAAAATTCCTTAACCAGATAGCCTGTGAGGTTGCTTCAAAGTAGGCTATAAACTCTGCTTCCATTGTTGACGATGCAATTATCGTCTCTTTGGCGCTCTTCCATGAAACAGCACCGCCTGCTAGCAGATAGGCATATCCTAAAGTGGATTTTTTGGAATCTTGACAACCCGCAAAATCCGAGTCTGAATATCCAACCACCTCAAGACAGTCAACATGCTTGTAAGTAAGCATGTAGTCCTTGGTTCCCTTTAAGTATCTCATGATTTTCTTTACAACCTTCCAATGTTCCATTCCTGGATTACTTTGGTATCTTCCAAGCATCCCAACTGCAAATGCAATGTCAGGTCGTGTACAAGCCAAAGCATGCATTAAACTGCCTACGGCAGACGCATAGGGAATGCTAACCATTTGTTCCTTTTCCAAATCATTCTTCGGACATTGACTTAAACTGAATTTGTCACCCTTTAAAAGGGGTGCTGCATTAGGAGTGCAATCACTCATCTTGAATTTCTCCAAAACTCTTTCAATGTAGGCTTTATGAGATAGTCCTAATGTCCTTTTGGACCTATCTCTATGAATCTCTATGCCAATGACATAAGAAGCTTCACCCATATCCTTCATTTCAAAATTTTGAGAAAGAAATTGTTTAGTATGCAACAATCCCAAATCATTAGATGCAAGTAAAATGTCATCCACATATAGAACTAGAAAAATGTATTTGCTCCCACTAACCTTAAGGTATATACAGTTGTCCACAACATTCTCCGTAAAACCATATGAAGTAATAACATTGTGGAACTTTAAATACCACTGTCGGGAAGCTTGTTTTAGTCCATATATGGATTTCTTGAGCTTGCAAACTAAGTGACTATCTTTATCAGAACAAAAAACTTCAGGTTGCTTCATGTATACTTCTTCCTCAAGATCCCCATTCAGAAATGTTGTTTTCACATCCATTTGATGTAGATCTAAATCAAAATGAGCCACTAATGCCATAATAATTCTAAATGAATCCTTTTTTGAAACCGGAGAAAAGGTATTATGATAATTGATGTCTTCTCTTTGAGTGAAACATTTAGCTACGAGTCTGGCTTTATATCGTTCGACATTGCCATTGGAGTCTTTCTTGGTCTTATAGACCCATTTACAGCCAACCGCTTTAACTCCTTTAGGCAACTCGACAATTTTCCAAACTTGATTCTTAGCCATAGATTCCAACTATTCCTTCATGGCATCATACCATAATTTAGAATCATCCCTATTCATGGCATTGGAAAATGAAATAGGATCATTTTTAGGTCCGATGTCAAAATCAAACTCTATTGAGTATACAAAATAATCACCAGAACTTGCTGACTTTCTAGCTCGTGAGCATCTCCTTAATTTGGTAGTCTCAATTGGGACTTGAGCTACAAGCTCTATGTTGACTTGTTCCTCTTGTGGTGAAAGTTCTTGAATTTGTTGATTTTCAAGACTATCGGGTTGATTATCTTGAAAGACAACCAATTCAACTATATTCATGGGTGTTGTATCCAAACCCCGTGATTCCTTCCACTTTATCTTTCGAGGGTAACTCCCACTAGGGCAACTTCCTCAATAAACTTAGCATTTCTGGCTTCAACAATTCTAAGTGAATTTGAAGGACAATAAAATCTATAGTCCTTGGAGTTTTCCGCATAGCCTATGAAAAAACCACTAACTGTTCTGGGGTCCAATTTCTTTAAATGTGGGTTATACACCCTCACTTCAAATGGACAACCCCAAATGTGTAAGTGTCTTAAACTTGGCTTCCATCCTTTCCATAACTCAAACAGTGTTTAAATAGGTCCGGATATTTCTCTCGGACCTCCAACTCACGTTCCCAAGTGGCTTCCTCCACCCCGTGATGTTTCCACAAAACCTTTACCAAAGGTATGGTCTTGCCTCACAAAACTTGATCTCGTTTATCCAAGACCCGAACCGGTCTCCCCTCATACGAGACATCCTCATCTACCTCTAAGTCGGTCTAATCCAATACATGCGATGGATCCGGCTCATACTTCCGAAGCATACTCACATGAAACACGTTATGTACTCCGGATAACTGCGGCAGCAAAGCTAAACGATAAGCAGCCTCACCAATCCTCTCAAGGATCTCAAAAGGGCCAATAAATCGAGGGGACAACTTCTCGCTCTTCCTGAACCTCATCAATCCCCACCTAGGCATTGAATATTGTGCAATAATGCCTTCTTCCTTAAGGAACTTAGCAAATGGACCTGGTAACTGTCCCAATAATGTGTACCTCCCATAATATTCTCCACCCCTGTCTGACCTCACAATTTTAATTTTCTTTTCTGTTTGTGTCTCTACTTCTGCTTTATAAACTTTAAAGGCATCAAGTGCCTCAGCCTTATCAAACAAAAGGTAAAGATACATGTATTGTATGAAGTCATCAATAAATGAGATAAAATATCTCTGACCATTCAGACAAGGTGGAGTAAATGGTCCACAAATATCAGTGTGTATGATTCCAAGAATTTCCTCACTCCTTTTGGCACCTTTACTGGTCTTGTTGGTCTGCTTTCCCTTTATGTAGTACACACAAATACCCAAGTTGGTCAAATCAAGAGTCGGAAGGACTTCATCATTAACCAACCTTTTTATTCTCTCAATGGAGATATGTCCCAATCTTCTATGCCAAAGAATAGAGGAGGACACGTCAACAATATTACGCTTAATGCCAATATCATCATACAAGGTTAAAAGATTTTGTTCAAAAACAGGATCCAGATTTAATTTGTACAAACCATTAAGTAAAGTACCAAATCCTACAGAAACAGAGTCTTTAAACAAACTACAATTTGCACCAACAAACTGAAATTCAAATCCAAATGGTACTAGTTTAGAAACAAAAATTAAGTTTTTTGAAAAAGATGGAATGTAAAATGCGTTTTCTAGATCCAAAACAAAGCCATTTTTAAAACAAGTTTGAAAGTTCCAACAACTTGTTTTCAAGATCCAAAACAAAGCCATTTTTTAAAACAAGTCGGAAAGTTCCAACAGTTTCGACGTGCGAACGCATCCCATTGCCTAAATAGATGCCTTTTTCACTTCCCGTCGGTTTCCTTAGGCTGAGGAAGCCCTGCATGGTATTAGCAATGTGAATTGTAGAACCCGAATCAATCCACCAATCATATTGATGAGCATTAACAAAATATGATTCATAACATACAAGAGATATGAGATTACCTTTCTTCTCAAGCCATTTCTTATATTTGGGGCAGTCTTTCTTCATGTGACCCTTTTTCTTGCAGAAGAAGCATGCACCCTTATCGCCATGATTTTTAAATGGCACTTTACCAAGCTTCTTCTATTTCTGATCACCTTTGCCCTTTTTCCATTGCCCTCCTTTATGTGTTTCTAAATGAGCAATTTCTACTTTTCCATGCTTCAATCTCTCCTCCTCTTGAACACACATGGTTAAAAGTTCATTGATAGACCATTTTTCCTTCTGTATGTTGTAAGAAATTTGGAATGCTCCATATTCCACAGGAAGGGAATAGAGTATGAAATTGATAAGGAATGACTCAGAAATCTCAATCTCTGAGGACTTAAGACGAGCTGTAATGTCCCTCATTTCGATAATGTGCTCACACACACTCCTAGAATTTTTATGCTTCATTCCTGATAGTTTGTACATTAGGGTACTTGCCAATGCTTTGTTAGAACTAACAAATTGCTCTTCAATAGCCCTCATGTAGTTCTTGACCTTATCAGATGGTGGGATTGAGCCCCTAATGCTCTGGCTAATATATGACTTTATGAGCATTAGGCTTAAGCGATTGGATCGCTCCCACTTATCATAAGCACTCTTTTCTGCAGCAGAACTCTCGTCCGTGGGTTCAAGAGGTTCATCCACACGGAGTGCCAGATCGAGGTCCATGCACCCTAATGTTAGAAGGATTTTGTCCTTCCAGTCCGAAAAATTATCACCCTCGAATAGCAAGATACTTTATGTCAATATGCTTGCTTCGGCTACCACTTTTGTTGTTGTTAGAGAAGAAAACCGTAGCCGAATTATCACAGTAACCTTTAATGGCTTAGAAATTGAATCCACAATTCGAAGCCCTGTGATAAAATTCCTTAACCAAACAGCCTGTGAGGTTGCTTCAAAGCATGCTATAAACTCTGCTTCTATTGTTGACGATGCAATTATCGTCTCTAAAACAGCAGCGCCTGCTAGCAGAGAGACATATCCTAAAGTGGATTTTCTAGAATCTTGACAACCCACAAAATTTGAGTCTGAATATCCAACCACCTCAAGACAGTTAACATGCTTAAGTAAGCATGTAGTCCTTGGTTCCCTTTAAGTACCTCATGATTTTCTTTGCAGCCTTCCAATGTTCCATTTCTAGATTACTTTGGTATCTTTCAATGCACATAATGTATAATACATACAATCAGAGTAATATCACATGAAAAATCCCAAGATCAAACACATGTAGTTCAACCTTATACTAGAATTTGCTTAAAAATTGGACCAAAATAAATTCCATAAGCCCAACACATAGTGTATTCATACTCTTATTTCACATGAATTTTCAATGCATAAATAATTACCTTAATGCATGTAATATAATATTACATTATTTTAGATAACATGCCAATGAATCTCAAAAATTATAAAAACTAAAAGAACATGTTATAATTCACTGTATGAGATTCAATTGAATTTGCTTACTGTTTAAACATGCAACGATAATAAACAAAATATCCTTAACAGCATGTTAAAATTTCTTTATGAAAATTCTACAAATAAATTCAAATAAAAGTATGAGAATTTCTAGATTTGATATAGAATCAGATTAAATATTTTGTTCTTTAATGTGTGTGTCAAAAATAATAGTTAATGACACACAACAAGTCTCCTAAATAAAATAGATTCCGAGTAGGAGAAAATTTTAAATAAATGTAAATACCACTAGCACAAATCACGATGGATTCTACTATTGCAACAGTGCTTCCTTTTTCTTTAATAGTGATTTTCAAAAGTTATGCAATATAAATTACTCATTCTGATTCTACAATGATTCTGAATTGTGAAATTTTATGGTGTGAATTAGATTCAGTATGCAACTGTACGCATCAAAACATCCAGTAAATTGTTGAATAAAACATTATACACTGTAAAATGCGGAAGTTTGATTTTATGTAGACGAAACAAATACTAAACAACATAACAGAAGGTTGGCTGTGAAACCAATTGTTATAATTAAATTAATTTTAATTCAGAAAGAAGAATAGCTCATGCCATGATGTTCAAGCCTTTGAATCTTTATCCTTGAATGATCAAATCTTGAATGTATAAAGAAGCCCACTCGCAGAACACTTTTGCAGAACCATATGAGAAAAGTGAAAGGGACAGAGTTTCAAGCTTATTATATGCACAAAACAATGTCTATGTTTGATGGCTATCACAGGCATATATATAGATAGGCTTGGACCCATATCCAAGTGTAACTCTTTATTACTTCCCACCATCAGGGAAGTTATAAAGTCCCATGAAACCACTATATGGGATATTAAACAGACATCAGTTATTCATTAACCATTAAACTAATTAATTAGCCATTAAACCAATTAATTAGTCATTAAACCAATTAAATATATATAATAAATATATATAATATAAATAAATAAATAAATAAATAAAGCATGTGGTATATGGGCCACTTTATGGATATTCTTACATTCTCTCACTTGGCACATATAACACATGTTGTTGACTGTCGGGTAACTACCAAACTGATGATGGTCATTAAATAAAAATACCCAAACCTTAATAACAGTGCAATGTTAAGAAATGAACATGTGTAAGTGTTGAACCGGTAACTACCAAACTGATGATGGTCATTAAATAAAAATACCCAAACCTTAATAACAGTGCAAATGTTAAGAAATGAACAGTGTAAGTGTTGAACCTTCAAGTTTTATATGTGTGCATGAGGAGAGAGAATAGGAAGTCTATTCATTACTTGGTGAGAGCATTCTTCTGCTTCACATTTTGCTTTGACAGAACCGTGAGAGAGAGAGAACCGTGAGTGAGAGAGTTCAACCCCTTAGATCTTTGCTGGAAATTTTGAAGAAAATTAAGGAAACTAGAGAAGAAGAAGATTCAAAGGGGAAATCAAATCTAATTGCTAAAATTAAAATTTGAGGTATGAAATTCAAGCTTGATTAATATAGGATCTTCTTTTTATGCATGAGATTGAGAAGGGTTTGGAATCATGTTCTTGAAATTAAAGAGAAATTGGGTTTTGAGCAAGAAATGAATTATATATATAATTACGGAAAATTATGTTAAGTTTCATCATTTTAATTTAAATTTTGGAAATTGCATGCATAAGAAACTCATCAATCAAGAACTCTAGATGAGGAATCAAAGCTCAAATCTTATAGATGAATTATCTAGAAGTTGAAATTAAGAAGTAAGTAGATTCAATTCCATGCAACTATAAAAGAGTTAGTAAGATGATGAAGAAATAGAGTTAGGTTCAAATTATGGAAGTTAAATTGGGAATTAATTATTTTGGGTTTGATTTTGGAATAACTTGCATGAGTTTGAGTCTAATTCCTACATGCATAGACAAATTTTACAAGTTTTAATACTCTAATTGTACAGGCATCATGGATTTATAATAATTGATTTCATGTTTTGATATAATAAGAATTAAGCTTTGGAAAATTATGGGTTTATCTTCACTTGTGAATTAAAGGAGTTTTGATGTAATTGATTTGAAATTGATCATGTTTGATGAAGATGAGCATCAATTGTGTTATTTAAGTTGAAAATGAAGCCTACATTTCACATGCATGTGAAATTCAAAGTGATATGGAAATTAATTTACATGAGTTTTAAGGATATGAAGTTAGTATGGGTTGTCAAGAAAAATGTGAAATAATTTGGGAATTGAATTGTGACTTTGGACAAATTAGACTCAATTTTCTTATGTCCTCATATTGTATAAAGATTTCCATGATTTTGTATCAAGAACATGAGCTTTAGACCCGTTGAATGCTAAGTTTGAACTTCAAATGCAATTCTGGAAATTCCAGAATTCGGCATGTCCGCTCGAGCGGGGAAAGCGCCGCTCGAGCGTGAAATGTTGGCTTCCAGAACTTTTGTAGACATTGATCTCTGCTTGAGCGGAAAGAGTCACGCTCGAGCGTAGAAATGTAGTAACCAGTTCTTTTGCAGACTAAAGGGATCCACTCGAGCGGCCAAAAGCCGCGCTCGAGCGGAGAGCCCTATTCTTGAAATTGTGAAAAATGGTTTTGTGTTTTGTTTTCCATTCTCTTTCATTTCTAAGCACTCTTACACATACATTGAGCTTTGTAAATGACCTAAAGGGTAAATAAAGAAGCCTAAGAGAAATAAATATATTAAAGAACGGATTGAATTGTGTGTGACCCAATATGTGTTATGAATTGTGTAAGGCCGAGCACAAGGACGAATCCACCGGCAGAACACTGTGAGTAATATCTTAGTAAAGACATTTTGAAGTATGCTATTCGTCCAACTGCTTACTCATATTTGAGTTTCATAAGTTTGTTAATTTGAATTATGGACAAATATTCGTTATGCCATATGATTGGATAAGGCCGTTGGATTACAATTATGATTATGATGCGATTATGATCTCAAGTACGAAATATGCGTTTGATATATGATAAGAGTATGAATTGGGCCTAAGGCTGTTTGATACGTTTGAATATTTTGATGGGCCAAAGGCCGTTTGAATATTTTGACAGGCCAAAGGCCATTTGAACACAAATGTAATGGGCCAAAGGCCGTTTGAATGAAAAATGATCATGATCATGGGCCAAAGGCCGTTTGAATTGAAAAGCGATCATGATCATGAACATGAAATGCACATAGATACGAATATGGAAATAATGGGCCCGAGGCCGTTTGATACGTTGAAGTGTTTGAATTGGGCCCGAGGCTGTTTGATGAGTCCAACAAGTTATGCAATGGGCCTGAAGCCGTCTGACATGTTTGATGCAATGGGTCCGAGGCCGTCTGATATGTTTGATAAAAATCTCAATTGGGCCCGAGGCCGTTTGACATGTACCAGAAAACACAGAATGGGCCTAAGGCCGTTTGTATATGAAATTTATGGGTTCGATGTACTTAATATGAATCTCATTCGTATAACCTCTTTACTATGGTATTATTCATTGGGTTTTGGCTCACTCTTTGTATATATGTATGTAGGTGAGCAGCAGGATGCCCAACCCCAACTGTAACGAACCCAAGAAAGAATGCCAAGTTTGTGGAGTCAATCATGACACGCCTCATGAACGAGGTCTTAGCTTTTAGAACCATCGTTTTGACCTTTTTGTTTTCTTTGATGGTTATGTTTGACCTTATCATAATGTAGTCTATGGTTTTGTATAAATATGGTATCACATGGATCTAGACATAAAATGTCTTTTATGTGGGTATGTTTGGTGTGAGTTATTAATATAAGAAATGTTTTTGTTCATTCCATTTATGCACAAGCTCATTGGACAATTATTATCGTTTGCTTCCGTTTTTGGCCCCATATGGTTATTTGAAAAATTGTTTTCTGTCTGAGGCCGTAGGTAATCTCATGATTACTGACCGGTTATGATCCTAACCTATTGGGGCAGGATCGAGTCATGACATCTTCAGCATGAAATTGACATCCTCTATCAGAGCTCTGTAAGGGGATTTTCTTTCGGCTCCATCTTGAATCTATTGCATTGCAATCTGGGAACCTGTTTCTAACTCTATGTTTTCCATTCCTTGTTGCATGATGATGGTGAGGCCTCTGTAAATTCCCTAAAGTTCTGCTTCCAAGCTTGTGCAGTTTTCTTAGTACCCATGGTAGCCCCATAACCAGGTGCCTGTTTCATCCCTCAGTAAGCCCCCATACCCAAACTGATTTGGGTCACCTTTAGAGCATCCATCTGTGTTCAATTTTAATTTCCCTGTAAAAGGAGCAAACCAATTAGTTAGTCTTGGTTCTGAGTAGGTAGGGTGGAGGGGGTTTTGAAAAGCTTCCTGGATTTCTTTGGCCTATTGGAAGATTTTAGTTGTACTGACATGGACAGGACGAGTTTGATTGTTAAAAAACCCCTTATTCCTATCTTTCCAGATATTCCATATGGCCATGGGAGATCAGCCATCTTGTCTTTACATTGCAGGTTAGACTTTAACCATTCAAGTAATGTTATACTGTTTGCTGCTATCCACCAATGGAGGTCTTTCAGTTAGAGCCAGATGGCTTTGGCTTTGGTACAACATGTGAGCAGATGTGGCATGTCCTCTCTATGGGTTTGGCATCTGTAGCAGGTATCAAAATTAGTGAGTTTTCTTATC